ACATTTCCATATGCATCTCTGTGCTCAATACCCATATAAAATAGCCTTGAGAAATAAATAAATTGATTCCTAGGCAAAGAAAACTGAGTTATACAAATTATTTCTATATAATCAAAAAAATGGCAGTATTCCATGCTGGTTGTCTTCCCACAATATCATAATGGAGCCTTCTAGGAAGCTCCCCACATGGCTCTAAAATCTGAAACTGAATTTCTTGTACAAATCTATGATGATGATGATGATGATGATGATGAGGAGGAGGAGGAGGAGGAGGAGGAGGAGGAGGAGGAGGAGGATCCTCTATTATAGCTGCCCACTGTAAAAGACTCTGGGAAATGAAGTAATAAATACAGCTTGGCCATCTCTATAAGGAAGGGCTTTCTTGCTATCAAATCCCTTTCTAACTGGGAATATACATTTCATGCATTCTGGTTACTGCTGAAAGAGGAAGCCCCCCCCCCCGAGTTTTTGCTGCATATTAATTTTCTATGGGTCGTATTCAGAGATATTTGCAGCTAGTCACAATGACATCAAAATGACAAAACAACACGAGCTCTATCATTAATATACTTGTATGTAGCATTGTGGCACAAATACAAAAGGGCATTGTAATATTACAACTCACATTATGTTATGTTAATACACACACATATGGTCTCCCTTTTGTGGGTGCCCATAGATGTGCTGGAGCCTAGAACCAGTCCTAAATTCCATATTCTTCCAAAGTCTGGGGCCTGAGTAATTACTATGAAATTTGGTTTTAGCACAAGGATGAAACCTATGTTAAACAGAACAATTATCATCTGGAATCCCAATCTGACTGCTGTCAGTAAAGACAGAGGGAGATAATTTTGTACCATTTGATATACATAATAACAACTTTGAAAAGATCATTACCATCACCATCGGCTAGCTTAATTACTGCTGTCAATGTGTTAAATTTGTCAATATAATACAGCATTAATTTACTTATGTAGCTAAAACAGTTTAATATTGGTGAGCAACCCAATTTCAGCCTATTTTTTTCCCTTTTTCTCCAGCTATAAATGAACGAACTTCTTTAAGAGGCAGTTTACTGACCCAGACACGATGATATAAAAAGCAAAAATGATAAAGCAATACATTTTAATTGATGTTTTCATAATTTTTTACTACAAACTTTGTCTCACCCACAAGGATGCTTATCAGGTCTTTTTATTAGCAGACATTTCATACGTACAGTGATGTTATAGAAAAAAATAGTTTTGTACCATGGCAAATACTTAGAGATACTTATTAAATAATAAAAAGTTACCTTACTTTGGGTTTACTTTTTTTACTACTGGAGAACATAGTGATAAGTGAACAGTACTGTTCACAAAAGAAAAGAAAAGAAATAAAGAAAAAAGAAGAAAAAGCCCTTCAATAGCCTTGTGGAAAACTATAAAACAAGCAGCAATACAGTCCTTTGCCAAACACTGTCATAAATTTTTTATTTGACAGCTAACATTCTCACTAGTTTTCTTGGCAGCAATTGGGACCTTTAGCAAGAAAGGTGCAAGAGAAAAATACCTTGTTTAGAGATGTTTTCAACACTTTCTGGGATTTTCAGAACTTCTGCCTGCAGCACACTGTTACAACCACAGTCTCCAACCACCTGATGAGTAGGTGGTGGTTTTTAACTTCTTCTTTTTTTAGAAAATATAGACAGCTTACTACCCCCATTCCCCTCTGGCCTCCAGCCTAGAATCTTCCCCCTCCCTTTTACTCATATGTGTCTTCCAGAGATTTAAGCGGTTCTTCACTGTCTAGACAAAAAAAGTTGAAAATATTGTCAGGATGTAGCTTTTTTTGCTTCTGATAGTATCAGGATCAGATTCCCAGATAACAGAGATAAATAGAAGGCACAAAATAGTTGATTACTTTTGCATTTTTTCCAGAGATTGTTACAAAAACTGGCTAGGTACGCCTACCTGGGTCAGTCAGTGGATGGCTAATAAACAGAATAGTAAAATGGATTTCTGCAACAGTAAACCCAGCTTCTACATTCATTGTTAAAATATATAAAACAATACATCTTGACAAGTGCAGAAAGCAGGAAACTTTAATCCAGACCTGGATAACAAATCATAATTAAAAAATTGTTTATGTGTAAAGGATTGAAACTGGTCTCACAGATAAAGAAACACTGAATGGTTTACTAAACTCAGGTACCTGATTTATCCTTGCAGTAGGAGTATTCTATAAATCACTCTACATAATTTTTAGTTTCTGTGAAATAAGGACACAATATCCAGACTACTGATATATAGCACAGCATAGCATAATCAGTGACATTAAGAGAAAATAATTGCCTTGCTTGGTAATTTGTTCCACTAATTATTCCTAATATTAGGAATTTTCTTATAAATACTCAGCTCCAATCTGTTTTCCTTTACGTCCCGACAGACATTCTGCTGTTGGTCACTTGCTCAAGTATTTCAACAATGCAATCAAGTATTCTTTTAGTCATCTTTCCACAATGATAAATATGCCTGATTCCCTCAAACTTTCTTTCTACAGCTTAGTTTCCAAACCCCTTATCATCCTTATTTTCCTGTTACCTGCTTCAACTTCTTGAGCATAGTATCCAGAACTAAATGGGTACTACTCAGTACTCAAGGTGGGGTCCGCCTAATGCAGAATGTAGCAGTACTGTTACTTTTGGCGATTTGAAAACGATCCTTCTGTTGATCCAACCTTCATTTCATGTTTTTTTCCCAGCCACTAGTTGCTACTTGAATATTTTTATATGCTATTTTGGGCATTATTACTGATTTCTGTTTGGATCATTCGGATGATGATGATGATTTTAAACAGTTTCTCCTTTTCTTCAAAAAAAGATATTCTCAGTGTTTTAGCTTGCCTTGCTGTGTGATATATTGTATATAAGGGAAAAATTCCTGCTTGAATTTGGTTAGACTCCTGCTGTGAATATATATTGCGTTGCTGCATAATCTTGAGTTTTAGTCTCCTAGTCCTGTATCTATTGCAAGGTTTTCCTTTTCCAATGTTGTACCAGATTGATTCTTGCCACTATCAGCATATATCTTAATTATGATGCCTTTTATTGATATTCTCTAATATATTACGTATGATATTGATCATACCTAATAAAAACATTTGGTTTTAATTCAAATTTTATTTTCAGAATTTTCTGAATATTTTGGTATATTTCTTTCCAGTACTTTTGAGTTTTTGTTTTTCATAACCACATTGTTTAATAAAACATCCTTTATTTGTTGTGGCATTTGCAACCTTTATTGTTGTATGATTTATGTTGGCAATTATTGACAGAATTATATACAATTGTACAACAATTTGTATCAATATTCCTACTTTTGCACTGTGTGTGGAAATTCAAAGAGGAAAAGGAGCATTCAATCATGCTTAAAAGATGACATCTTGCTGATAGGCATGCAAACTTGGGAAGATGTTACATGGTTGATCTTAAAATGCCACATGGTATTTTTCAATTAAATCAATGTTAAAGCTGAAGAAATATCACATGATAGTGAAGCATGTTTGCCATTAGATAACTCTGAAAGAATAATAATA